GCTAGGCTGGGGGGATGGGGAGATGGAAGATACGGGATATGGAAGAGTGTCTGAGAGATCCAAAGGGAGGGGCCAGCGTAAGTAAGGCAAGGAGGGATGTGTAGATATACTGTATGGGGGATGAGGTAGACTAGGAGGGACGACGTAGATGAGCATGAAATGCATTGCTGACCTCCTCTACAACGACGGCGGTGCGGTACGGTACGGTACAGAACTCGAGTTTGATCTCTCTCTCTCTCCTTCTCCCCTTTCTCTAGAGATGATATTCTCATCCCCATCCCTCCCCACCCATAGATTCAATACCTCCAAATCTTCCCCTATCCAACCCTCATCCACCCATCCTCGACCCCATCCCCATCATCAATCAATCAATCAACCATCCAACCAGCCATTCATTCATTCTACCAACAAAAACCCTCCACTCTTTCAACGCCAAAATATCCCCCATCCCCATCCCGTTCCCACCCCATCATCTCGTTCCCATTATATCGGATATTGGGTGTGTATGTGCCACAGAAGCGGAGTCGATCTACGCGCTCGCGCCCGCCGCAACAGCAGCAGCAGCCTCCTCAGCCGTCTTGCGGGCGATGACGTCAGCCTGCGCGACGGCGGACTCGACGACGGTGCGTTCTTCGGGGGAGAGGGAGTTGGTGAGGGAGGTGTAGAGTTGGGGTTGTTCGGTTTGGAGTTCTGTGAGGGGGGTTTGGTTAGTTTTGTGGCTCGTTTCTGTAGGGGGTAGCTAGGGGGACATACTCATGAGAGCATCGCGGAATAATCCGTATGGCTCCACCTTATCCAGCGGCGTCTCAAGGAGACTCTCCTCCCCGAGCTCGTCGTCGGATTCATCGTCCAGGTTGCCGAATTTCTGCGCCTGTGCCGTCATAATTAGCATCTCAACTGCACACCACACACACGGGACGTAAAACTCACCTCCTCGTTCAAAAAGTCAAGGTATGCACTACTCTCATCCTTCCCCTCAGCATCCTCCTCCTCCTCCGCCTCCTCCGCCCACGCCGTATCCTCCCCACCCCACTCCACGCCCTCCTCCTCCTCATCATCGCTATACGCGCCATCGGCAAGCGGATAATCGTCCTTGAGCGCCTCCTCGCGGTTTTTCGCCGCCGCAGGCAGCGTCTGGAAGAGACGCACGATACCCTGTAGCAGGCGCGGCCAGCCCTGTTGCACGCTGGCGGGGACCTGGTCGGGGTTGAGGGTCAGCAGGGCGACGATGGCGGCGATGGCGAGGGTCTTGTCGTGGACGCGGCTGAAGGCGTCGATGCTGCCGAACCAGAGGCTGAAGAATTTGTTGGTCCAGCCCTTGGCTTCGAGGACGTGGAGGGCGAGAACGGGGTTGTAGTAGATGGCGTTGATGACCATCTCCATCAGGTGGATCTTGTAGGACTTGACCTTGACGTCGGCGTTGGTTAGGGTGGCCATGGCCATCTCGACAAAGGCGAGGACGTATTGGTCGATGCTGCCGCGGAGGGAGAGCATCATGCCCTCGGCCAGCTTGCAGGCGCAGATGCGGTCCACGCCGCCCACTTTGTCGTCGTGGAACATGTCCTGCACCATGCCGAACATGGCGTCGAGGTACGCGGGCGTCTGCACCAGGTGGGCCGCGCCGTACTGCACGAAGTTGTCGAGCGCGGGGAGCATGTCCTCGAGGTAGAGCTCGGCGCCTGCCTTGAACGTCTGGTGGATCAGCTCGAAGGCTTGCCACATCGTTGGCGAGATGCTCTTGGCGGCGAAGGTGCAGCTGTCGATGATCTCGAAGACCTCGTTGTACAGGTCGTACAGCTTGTTCTCGAGGGTGATGCTGATTACGGGCATCAGGATCGACTCCATGTGCAGCAGCACCTCGGGCGTGCTCTCGAGAGTGAGGATCAGCGTGCCGATTGTCTGGAGGACACCCAGCGCTGTGATGGACTTGTCGTCCAGGTAGTCGCCGTACGAGTCGTCGTCGCCGCGGCTCTCGTTCTTCTCGAGAAGTCCGTTGACGATGCGCAGGTAGGTGTCGCGCAGCTGCTCGCTCAGAGCAACCGCGAACGGCGTAAGCTCAGCGGCGAATACCTCGACAAAGTCCTCCATCACGTTCGACAGGGCGTCGACATCGACCTCGTTGGCGAGCTTCAGGAGCTGCTGCATGATCTGGGGGATGTTCTGCTGCATGCTCGTGCGGATGATGTCGTGTCTGATGAGCGGCTGCAGGGCCAGCGCGGCCTCGACACGCACGGGCAACTCTGGATCGCCCATGCACTCGAGGATCTTGCGGTAGATTACGAGCAGGTTGTTTGTGTCCTTGAAGTCGAGCTGCTCAAACTTCTCGACAGTGTCGCAAGCACGTGCGCGCAGGTATCCTTGCGGGCTGTTGAAATCTGGGAAGACGTAGCGGACGAGGAAGTATTCGACTTGCGTCGCGATAGGGCTCTTCTTGGCGAGGATGACGCTGGACAGGGTGCCGATCATGCGAAGGGCTCCCTCCTTGGCGACGTGGTTCTTCTTGCTGTCCTCCGTGGCCTCGTACTCGTTGACGATGGTGTTGACAAAGGTCAGGATGGTATAGGTCTGCTTCCTGCGAATCTTGGTAAGGGTGACTAGGAAGTTGGTGGCGGCAACATCCGGCGCGGAGACCTCCTCGTAGAAGTTGAGCTTGTGGTGGAGGTAGTCCTCTGGGTCAGTGTCGAACTTCTCAATGTCGTCTTCCGACAAGCAGAGGACGGGGAAGAGGAAGTGGGTGACCAGGGTATCGAGATGCGGCTTCAAGTGAGCCCACATCTGCTTTGGCTTAACACACTCGTCGAGGAAAGCAAGGGTATATGATAGGCAGCGTCTGCTAAGCCAAGTAGTTTTGGCAACCCACTTCTCGATCTGTGCGAGGTAGGCCTTGAGAATCTCAGGTGCGATAGTAGAGATGAAGTGCTTTGCAAATTCAACGTAATCATCCCCGTTTCCAGAGACGAGGGATCCAGGGTTCCCGTAGCTATAGAAGTCAGAACAAGTTAGGTCGTAGGTTTGCACAAAACATACCGGACAAATAGTCTGTTCAGGTTGAAGTATGCCCACTTCTTTGCCTTCCACCAGTGGTTTGCCTCACGCTCAGTCAGATCCTCCGACAGGGCGCTTTGTGGGACTTCCTTTCCGATGGTCTGGATGAATAATGAACACCAGCCGATCGTAGTCTGTTCCTGCCTCAGGGAAGCAGCAAGGTCGAACTACACACGTGTTAGCCATCTCTCACCGCCAAGCCCCCCACACAACGAAGACCTACAAAGGTGGCATGTTTATAGGCCTTCAGCGCCAAATGCAACATCTCCCCGGCCTCCTCGCTTGTTTCGTTCACCAGCCCTGTTCCAATAACCAACAGTCTCGGGAATGTCGCCTCAACGATCTTATCGAAATCAGCCCTGCTCTCGCCCGACTTGAACCTGAACACGCGGCAGATGGCCAACAGGCACTGCAGGCCCGCGAAGATGCTCGCGGCCTCATTTGTATTCAGCAGGCGCAGCGTCACGTCCATGAACCCCGGCCAGCGCGCGGGGAAATCACAGTGCAGGATCTTCTGCAGGACGGGCACGAGCTGTGCGCGCACGGCGGCCGTGGATGTCGACAGCACGGGCAGGAGGCGTTCGCGGAAGCGGGCCTTCTCTTCTTCGGGAATGGGTTTATGAGTGACAGCTGCGTCGTCGCTGACGGCCCAGGCACGCGACACGCGGTTTTTGAGGTATACAGCCGCTAATGTGAGTTAGCGGGTTGTTGCAGCAGTTTTGTCGGGGATATGAAACTGGTGTATGGCGGGGTAAGGGGAGAAAGACGTACTCGACAGTCTGACGGAGGCCTCCTGCTCGCCTTGTAGAATATCGAGTAGTGCATCTGTGAAGCCGGCGTGCTCCTCGGCCTGGTGCAAAAAGTTGTCAGCGAGATGTGGGGAGAAAGAGGGGTGGTATGGTACGGACAGCCTTGAGATCTAGCTCAGCGCGGCGGCGCGCATCGGCGTCCGCATCGAGCGTCGCGACGATACGACTTCTGACTAGGCCTACGTCCATGTTGCTCGCTGATCCAGTGCGTGGCCGACAAAGGGGGGGGAGCGCGGCGTGGTGGGTTTTGCGAGACTCGAGAGCGAGATTCGTGGTGGGAGGAAGTTCACTTTTTGTGTGGTGCAGGAATCTGCCAATCAGCGCTAGCCCCAGGCAGAGGCGGTAAGTGGTTCGAAAAACGGTGACGGTCACGTGAAAGTGGCCCTGTTGAGAGGGGTATAAAGTTTGAAAGTCGACTATTCCTAAACGGGAGTAGTATAGAGTAGCAATCACAACCTCTTATAAAACAAGCACTCGTAGTGATCATGCCACTTCAAAGTCAGACGAGGGGTTGTCCATGGCTGGGAATAGGTACTAGCAATCCATACTAATTAATTTATCTCTTTTGTAGGAACTAAACTTTAAAAGCCTATAATCGTACCCATATCCATCGTTTACAAATAATTAAAATATGATATGAGCGTTTTTAAAATATAAGAAAATAAATTAACAATTATCCAGAATATTTTTACATCATGAAGTCTATAACTATACAAAATTTCAGTCATAATAACTAGAGCCTTATGAATTATGTTTGTACTAACTTTTAACGTATTTGAAGATTTTAGTTAAGTAGAGACCTCTTTTCGCCAAGTGCCAACTTGACGGGTCTGTGGTGAGGTGCATAGTGATATGATAACTACAGCTCAGGCGATTAAGCACCCTTATTTTAGGTACAGTTACTATGAACACTAGACATCGCACATAGTCTCTCTTCTGACTTTTAGGTAGAAACTAAGATAAACTATAAATGCTATAACTATGAGTAATATCCACGACGGCTAATGGCTTAGTCTCTCATGATATCTATTTCAGACAGTGCAGACCGTCACCAAAACGAGGATTTTACCACCCTACTACAGCGTGCCTATCTTTCCCTATCATTTTAAAACCACCTTCACTACCAAAAACCAACTATTTCTCACCATGGCGGACGGGCGCAGCGATCGCAGACGCCATAAAATGAAACTTCGCTCGACAAAACCAGAACCCGTATACTGGTTGTCTCTGCCAGCGGAAATTAGGCTTATGATTTTAGATTTTTTCACACGTCAAAAGAGTCCTGGGTGGGCTTCCCATGCAGCCGTTTGCAAGGAATGGCAATTCTTTATAGAGAAAAGAAACTTTCATCGGCTGAAGCTGCAAGGATCTTGCCTCGACGAATTCAACCGCATCGTCATTCGGCAGAGATATCTCGTTCACCATATCTGCCTTGATATCAGGCTGCCAAAATACTCATGCCGAAGTTGTGAGAATACGGAGACACTTTTGTGGGAATCTCGCAAATGCTCCATCATCAGAGATACAATCTGGACGCTGTTCTCGATTCTAAGCACTTGGGATCCAGCTAGTGACCTGACGTTGGAGCTTAAAGCATATTCCCCTAGCGACTCGGAACACTGGTTCAAAAACCATAGTTTTGCCTCTAATGACGACGGTACCGGAGCCGCAAGTTCAACGCAAGATGGTGATCCCGGCGAAATTAGCTCCAAGTGGCACGACCCAAAGCATGGCTGGGTTAATGGCCAGCGGGTTAAGACCCCTCCATGGCTGGCCCTATTCCGGTTGTTTCAACCGAGGCCGTTAGGCTTCCAAGAAACACTTCCTGAAGTTAATGCAGTCACATGTCTCATCATACCTCGACAATTTCGTTCTTGGCTTCACCCCCTAGACATGTGGATTGTATTGAGCGGCCTTTGCCGATTAGAACGCCTGGTACATGAGCCATCGCGATCACCATGGAAAAACAGGCGAATTATTTTTGACGACGGTGAGTGCCTTTATCCCCATCCTATCTCCCATTCGTTCGAGCCACTAACAGATTTGGTTGTAGACGCCCTCTTCTTGGCCCAACTACTCCTCTCTAAAGCTCCTACCTCTCCTAAGAGCCTATCCGTGTTTGAAGATTTCAACGCCGAATTCGCCACAACAGTAGCCAACCGTCATCGGCAGCGGCCCACCGTTCTGCAACCAGGCCCCGACCGCAACGCAGACCCTCGAGTAGGCGCGGCCTTTGCCTCTCGAAGCCTCCACGTCGAACAGCTTTTCGTATCATTCTTGCTAAATGCCGAGGACTTCTTCCAGGCTTGTTTGCCGACCTGGACGTGGCAGAATCTCCAATCTCTAGCACTCACATCACAGCTCTTAAAACCCACAGGATTCCACCTACGGCCCAATGCCCTGCTATGCCGAGCTGGCGTTGTAGCTCTCCAGATGCCTAAACTCCGCACCTTGGCGCTGTGGAACGGCTCATGCGGGTTTGCCGCTGCGTTTATCTACCAAGTTCACAGAGACTCTGTGACTATTACCTGGCGTGGGACGTGGAACCAGGAGTTCAACCTCTCAGTAGCCAAGGCCTGGAAATCCGTCGCGTCGACACTACACTCAACGGAACTGCGGATAAAAAAACAGCTAATCCACCACAAGATCGGGTGCCACGGCGACGCTATACATCACCTAGACCTACCCTGTCGAGTTGTGGAGCCGGCGTCGCTGTGGCAGATACGGAGGGAGAATTCCCACCATACGAGATAAGTTGATGAGTTTCATCTCTGGCATATGGGGAAGGAGCGAGCCCAGCGAGAGTCGCATAAGTAAATAAGCTTCTTGTCTCGCAAATGCAAAGAGCGAGCTAAGCTACATAAGTAGAGAACCTTCTTCCCTTGCAAAAACGGGAGAGAGGCCAACGAGCGGTATATTTAAGATCGCTTCCCATATCAAATTAATGGATGTGTCTCGCAATTCTGTTTTATTTTTCTTTGATGGCTTGAATTGTAAAAGCAGGCTAGGCCGGTGCGAGCTGTTCTCCGGCCAGACGACCCTTAAAATCCCACTTCTTCATTCTAACATAGCACAGTTTGCAAGTTCGTATACAACAACACACAGGTATAATATATATATATACATATATATTTATCCAACTCTCTTCCAACGTTCCCCCCCACTAATCCAACCTCTAATTAAGACACTGACTATACCACTGATTAGAAAACTTACACGTCCCCACCGCACACGTAGTCGGCCCCGTCCACCCCTGCCCCCCACACTGTCCATAAAGCGCCTGCCCCTGCGCCGGCGGCGTACTCGTCGGCGGCTGCGTCGTCGTCACCCCCCCTGTCGAAACCGGCGGAGTAGTAGTCCCTCCACCAAATGACTTAATCACTTTCAACAGCACGGGGTGCAGGGCAGCGGCGATCTTGGCGTCCCCGGAGGCGTTGGGGTGCACGCCATCGCGCAGGTCGCCGGTCGTGAAACCGGTTGCGGTGTCGGCGATTACGATTGGGGAGGCGGTGGTGGAGAGGCCGGACGCCCAGGAGGGGATGGCGGCGTTGAGGGCGGTGATGCCGGCGGTGGAGCCGAGGCCGAGGGGGATTACGAGGTCGACCTGGGGTGGTGTTAGTTTGGAGAAGGGCGGAAAGGGGGGGGGGGGGGGTTTCGGGTTTGGGT